CTACTTCGACTGTAGATCCATTCTTAAACAAAGGAAATGCTGGGTTCTACTACGATACCAATGAATTACGATTCGATTCGTCTACTGATAAAGAAATCGCTACTAACGTGCTACTCAATGAGCTTAAGAAAGATAACAAACATCTACTCGACTGATCACGTGAATGCACTCTTCGTCTCCTTTATTATATCTATCTCGTCGGTATTCTTGATATAGATGCCGTTTTCCCATACAGCATCAGGAAGAAGGCCCGGGCGTTCTACTATTCCTTCGTCCAAGTGTCATATTTATTGTAGCGGTAAGTCTATCATATCTACCATTCTCGATCTGCCACCATAGGAACCAAGACTCGTGTCTTCGCTTCGTATTTTACTGATTTTGGGACTGTTGTCTGCAGTGGTTCGAGTTTTGGCCAATGCAACATGCGACTCCGACTACAAACGACTTGGCGAGTCTGGAAACTTCGAGTGCCGTGACGGCTTCAGTGGCATCGGGTGCCGCATGTGCACTGTGAACCACGAACACGATGACTCTAATGTATTAGTAGTACTAGTCATTAAATCATACAATGCTCCTGCCACAAATAATAAGAACGTATCAAGCGCACCTTCCTCAAATTGGGAATCAATCGACCTGATCAATGACAACACATGTAGATGTATCCAGCGATTCACTCGCAAAGAATTTCGTTTATTTCTCGTTCATAGCCTCCCAGTAGGCTTGACTCGCACTATGATGCAGTCACTGTCGAATGCGACCCGAGCTGCACGCTTCATATCCTTCCTCCTTGCCTCCAGAGGCAGTCACGCCATCGTTCTTACCATAGTGAGCCATGGCACGGTGCCTTGGGACTTGCAGCGACAAGAACAAGTACGCCACCAATTGCAGAACGATAGCGATCAACGCAAGTGCCGCCACGTCATAGTAGCGCTGGGTGTAGTCCATCCCCAGCGTCTTAAGGTACACTTCGCCATACACTGGAACAGCCGGGTATCCCGGAGCATCAAATGACAAGACGATTCCTTCTAACTCGTTGGCCATCAGGATCTCGAACGCGTAGCCGAAAATGGACAAGTGTTTGAGCCAACCAACCGAGTCTGGCATCGTCTCCGAGTTGAGCAGGAAGCCACCGAACAGCAGCATGATCAACAGTACCACCGTAGCAGCAAGATTGGCTGATCCAACACGTCTCGACAATACTCCAACAAGCAGACAGATCGACCCCGCCGCTACGTTAAACAGCACCAGAGTCAACCAGAAGAGCAAGAAGCGATCAGCCGAAGCCTGGAGCGCCATGATCCAGTAGAAAATGCAAGCAAAGATCGATGCTGGAAGCACTCGAAGCAGTAACGAGTCGAGCGTCATTTTAGCTAAGAAATAGCTAAAAGCTCCATAATACATGGCTCCAGTCTCACGAAGGAAAATCGGACGTTCAGAGATGAATAAATCCATGGAGCTCATACTTGCGAAGCCGAAAAACGTCAGAATGAAGTAGAATGCGCCCATGCGGTTCTGAAAGCCGGCCAGGTTGTCCGATACGTTGTTGAAGATCAAACCGCCAAACAGAGCGAGCACCAAGCTCAGCACAACATGCTGGACCAACAATGAGCGGTGACGGAAGATATTCTGAGCTGTACGCGTGAACAGCACGCGGATCTGGATCATACTCGACTGGAACGAAGCCACTAAGCTCCTCGACTCAGAGCTATCTTCAAACATGAACGGGGATGAGTCTGGTTCGTACAATGGACTGCCAATAGGAGTCTTAGGAGAAAACTCCTCCGGTTCAGTGGAGTTCACTGACACAGCTACTTTTTCAGGGACGGTATTGTCCTGTTTGGACTGGACAATAGGCAAGTTGTTGTTTTCGATGGCTACATCGAGGATGAAGTCGGCGACGTTGTCATCTTCGGGACACTTGAAGCCAAGCTCATGGAAATACTGCTTCGAGTCCGCAGGTTTGCCACTGTACAGCAGTTGTCCTTTTCCTAGCAACATGATCTTGTCAAGTAGTAGGAAGGACCGAGAACTTGGCTGGTGGATACTCAGAATTACAATGCGATCGTGACTGGCCAACTCCTTAATAAGCTTCACAACCGAGTGGGCCGACGAACTGTCCAATCCGGAAGTAGGTTCGTCCAAGATGAGGATCTGCGGCGACGTTACCAGTTCCATACCGATACTCACGCGACGTCTCTCACCGCCAGAAATGCCTCGTTCAGAGGTGCTCCCACCCACCGAGCCAATACGAGAGTTGGCAACGTGACTGAGGTTAAGTTCCGTAATAACCCGGTGAACCATCGCAGACTTGGCCGAGTCGGTCATTGATATTGGAAGGCGCAGTTGAGCCGAGTACGCGATACACTCGCGGACTGTAAGCGTCGAGAAAAGCGTGTCATCTTGTTGCACGTACGCAGCGATACGTCGGTATTCCTTGGTCACCTTGTTACCGTCCAGTAAGAGCTCTCCAGTGAACTTGGAGGTACCGTTTTGCATAGCTGCAAGAGCGTTCAACAGCGTTGTCTTGCCGGATCCACTAGGCCCCAATAGACCGAGCACTTGGCCACGTGAGACGCTTTCAGAGATCTGGTTCAAGATGGTCTTTTGCTCGGTAGACTTCTTGTCGACACTGGCAAAGCAGCTGATGTTACGGAACTCCAGCTTCTTGACTGAGCGTGAAGATACCTTCAGTAGCTCCGTCTCAAGATCCTCTTCTTTCTGGCTACTGCGAGCGCCCCCGATGCGACAGCAGAACGAGAAACAGCCAAGTAGTAACAGCGCAGCGAGCGCCACACAAGCTACGACAGCCAGTTCCGCCCCCTCCGTGGCAGTAGAGTCCGCAG